GTGTCGGTAACCAAACAAGTAAGTGTCATAAACTAGTGTTCGAAAGTATCGATACGACTATTGATACGTATCTATATGCCTCTGGCATCGATACGTATCGATAATTGTATCGATATTTTCGAACACTAAACCTTCTTCATTATGTGATTAGGAAATATCCTGTCGTCAAATGCATATTTTTATTGAGTAAGGTAGAATCCAATGAAACTGCAGATGTAAATATATGCTTATAATTGCACAGAGAAATCGCACATCCCGGTTTGTCACTGCTCTTATTTGCAACTCACATTATCATTAAAAAGACGCTCGCTTTCACTCGTATATGAACATGACTTTTTACAGCACTTATGATCTCTCACAGAAAACAAGATATATGCAATGATACACTGAAAGATTATTCCAAAACATATTTTAATAACATATGTTTCGTTTTATGCTAAAGAAGTAATCATTTTATTGAACTGCAAAATTGATTTCCTCTTTTGTCACAGGTATTGTATCAAATAGGATCTCTATAATATATGCCATCTTTTTTCTCACACATATACATTATATATATATATATATATATATATATAATTATTATATTATATAAAGAGATATATTTATTATATTATTGCACATTAATTTTACATTTTCATGAGATTGTGAATTACGCAACCATAAACTTTCTATTTGATTAGTTGCAACAGGGAAGTGGGGGTGTTTTCTTTTGAGCTGCATAAATCACAGATGTTGCTAAAAATATGTCGAATTGAAAATCGGGAGTCGGACGTGAAAGTGTGTAGACTTCGCGCGATAACGACACATGCTTACAATTACTTTCGCTTTTCGATGACGTATCATTTCCGCTTTAGAGAGGTACTAGAATTTCTTATTTCCTATCAATGACAATTCAATAGTGTGGATTGTGATAAATATAAACGATTCTTTTTATAATGTGCCCCTATTCAAATATCTCTCACTTTCTCCCTTCTTTAACTTCGAAGAAATATCCGTTGCTTCAAAGATTTGCGCTGCGCTCGTATACCTGTTTGTAAATGTTTTAGGAGCGGGTCTTGATACTATTTCGTTTCGATACAGAGATCTTATTTGCCATCTAAGAAATGGCAAATTTCCCGGTGAAACGGGATACGCTCGTAAACCGTGTTAGTTACTGATGTTTTATACGTTTTCAATTATTAATGGACACTAAATGACTAAGCAACCTAATGGTTTTACTGAAATCAGATATTCAGCGGATAAGAAATTCGGTGTTTTCTGTGTATAGAAACTGAAACAATAATACATGTCCTCAATTACTTAAAAATATAGACTTTATTTAAGCTATTTAAGTTAAGGAACAAACAAAACATCTTCTCGATCTTTAACAATTATTTCACATACATAACAAATAACAGCTATCGCTTTAAATTATCGCTTTCACAATAATTTTAATTTCGAAAAAATTAGTGATTGTAAAAAGAAATATAAAACGCGTACGAAAATTTTCCCCACTACATTCAGATTTTCGACACAATGACTCATATACTTCCATTAGTTAAAAAAACATGAACTATATAGGAAATAATTAACGTACATACATCAGGGATATAGAGGATGATTATATAGGCAAGGTATTGTAGCTGCAGCATGCATACACAACTATATATCGCGTTACATACGTAATGAATAAATAAACGGACATATATCATTCTCTGATGATCGTGCATGATTATATTATAGTTGAAATCATGATAACATATATATGCAGATACATATGCAATTGCGTATTTACATCGTTTGATTGCCAAGTTAATTAAAACAGAACACACATTTAATTAGAGAAAAGTATAATCGCGGTATGCATAAGCAATCTGCGATCCATCCATGACCCGTACACTTCCTAGAAGATGAGATAGTGGTGAATATCAAGATACTCGACTCCATCATAGCTGCTTGTGAAAAATATGAAAGAAGCGTTACGCCGAAATAAATAAGTGAAAGCGTCAATTATTGCACGATAGACACGAAGCGAGGCGGGTTTCGTGCATGCATGCAGTTATTCAGACTGGACGGATCTTAATCTTTAGAAGGCCGGCATTTGAAGTACCAGATTCCACGAAGAAAATCGATAAAAAATGTACTTTATATCGTATACAAAGTACCGATCACGGAGACCACCACTTAAGTGGTGATCGCGGCCCTGGGGGATAAAAATTTTAAAATTAAAAAAAAATAGGTTTCTAGAGGTTTTTGAGGTCGCTGAATAAGATGGAACTGTCAGTTTTTGTAAATTATGAGAATTTATAGTTATATCGTTATATAAAAAAAAAATAGCAAATAGGGGGAAAGAGAGAGGGATGGAGAAGGAGGTACAAACTTATATCTGGATATGTAAATACCTATACACACATAAGCAGATAAATGTAGAACATGAATGCAACTAATTGTCTATCACCACTATAGTGGTTTTCCGGCTCTCTAAAGGTTAATTTTTGATTATATTCATCATTGTAGAATACTTGAATCTTGACGCGAAGTAGAACGTAAGATTACGATTATAGATAATATTATAAGCACAAGAACACTGAGAGAAAATGGATAATAACGCCGAAAAGATACAAATTGCAACGAAGTACGAAACCAGTTGTCGAGTTATCGATGCATTCGTGTGTATGTCTACGTTTATTTTGTTATTAAAACAGATTCATATAGGAGATACAACGAAAAGAAGATCATTATTGCTCAAACTGTTTATCAGTTTATACATATTTCATTGTACATGCGTGCATACACTCATTATTAACCTGGTTCCTTTCTAACATTGAAGCAAACGTGTTCCTCTTGATTACCTGGTAACCTATATGAGATCATTCGTGACAATCATTGCACATAGAGAAATACATTGAAAAGTATATCAAAACGTCTCAAGGCAAGATAAGATCCTATTTAAGTGTTACTGGTACATGTGCAGAAAAACACGTTGCCCAAGAGGAAGCGAGATAATAAAGTTTCCACGAGTAACATGGAATAGGTTTTAGAGAAATTCGCGATGCGTCTTTCACCTGTTTAGCCCGGGGATAATAATTTTTATCGACAAGTGACTGTCTTTTCACTTAGAACAACGATAACGTCCGATAGCACTAAGCGATTAAACTCTTGAATCAGGTCAACTGATGCGTGCGTTCATACTGAAACTCTCCTGAACAAGATTTCGTGAGTGAGAGGATGAGATGCAGAGAAAGTTACAATGAAGGCGAAGAGTCGCGCATTGGATAAAGAGCAAAGAAGGAACATGTAATTACGAAGTACGATATATTTTCGTGATAGGAAACGTCCAAGGAAAAGCGGCCACTTTCGAAGTACAGTTCGTATAATAGAATGTGCCAATTGACACGATCGTTATTTAGCATAAAGTCAGGAAGCGACACTCAAAGCTTAGCGTATCATGCAATAATGACAGCCGTGTTTAATGAGGATTGAGTAACGTAATGTCAATATGGATCTGGGTAATGCAATTTCGTTATTCAATGTCGCTCATTAGGTAATCCGTGACACATGTCATCGGAAAATACGATAGTTTGCATTTCGCGAATTATATCGTACACTATTTATATCTAATCTAATCATTTCGCGACGCAAAGATTTATTTATATAATATCCGTCCATCTTTTTCATTCGCGTGCACGCATAACTAGAAGTTTATTCTATAGTTTCGATCAGGTTAATTCTAATCCAATTTGTGTAAGGTGTTGTTAGCGGGTTCTGGTAAATCGTGTAACGCAGAGCGGCAATTGGAACCCGTAATTAGGACTCGATAATATTATCTTATACAATCCAGATAATTGATTGGGATCAAGGGATAATTTCTAGTTTAGTATATGTAGTATATACGGAACATGAGACGGCAAAACGAACTCGTGCGAGAGGAATACGTTGACGAGTTAATCTCAATACATTATTTATACATGATGTCATTCGATTATTCGTTCATAGCTTGTGAACTCTTAACACTCCTATGGAGAAAATGCTCGAATTGACATCATTTTGATAAGAAACGTCTAGAGCGTTTCCTCCAGCGCCACATACGATGACTTGCTACCGCGTAGAAACGCAAAGTCACGACGTTTAAAAAACAATTATTAATTCGTTTAATTTCCATATATTTAAATCGCTCGATTGAATTAACACGACCGCAATTTATCGCCTGATTTTCTCGCGCTTTTGCGTTACCTGGAATCTAGCCAATATTTTTTATTCAACGGGCCGGATAGTCTTTCTCGTTTTCCTCGCTCCGATGAAGGGACGATCGTCACGGGAAATTCGTTGCGTTCGCGAAACACGATCGATCTCTCGTCGGAGCCGTGTTGCAGCTTCGCAATCTCTATTGTTCAGGTAGATTTAACAACATATGATCTTCTTGGTTAGAAAGTCTTGCTTAAGCAGCGATGTAGCAATCTGAATGACCGATTAACACCAAGGCATCGAACGCATTCTCTCCGTCAGCGAAACGTCACTTGCTTTCCACAAGCTGTGGAAGCGACCGACCAGCTGCAGGACCAGCTATCGTTTCCATCCGCTCACGTGAGTAAGAGTCGATTCGGCGGGCATCAGCGAAAGCGAAATCGGCGCGTCGGCTGGACCAACGACGAACGAGGAGGAGAAAGGTCGGGAGATGAAAGTGTTTGTATGGCTGAGAGATGGAACAGGGTCCAGTCTCTGAAAATGGAGATGGTAGGACGCTATGGGTGCGGGGGCCCTCCGAATGCAACTTTCACCTATCGATATACCGTTTCTGACACATATTCCAAGCATACAGGTCGTCCTGTACGTTGGACGCGAGATACGTACAATGCGCGAGGCGTAACCGAACACAACCGCATCCGCAGGTCTGGGTGGAAAAAGTTCTTCAGCAATCTTTGATCACCAAGCTGGAAACATGTGGGCAACTAGCTGGCTCCTTGGTGAGGGAAGATACGTCATGGTTTGTCGTGCTCTGCAGAAAACGAAATCGAAACTGCTCGTCAGTTGCCAACGGGGTGCGCGTACGGTATCGTTAACGGCGGCGACGTCGACGTCGGTCGTCACACCGCACGAATTTTGCACGGCTGGTAGCCGATAGTGGTGCAGTGATTTATGAGACTTAGCCATCATCTCGTCACGATCGCCGTTATTTTTATCATCTTCATCGTCGTCATCATTATCATCAAATTCATCATCATCATCATTATTATTACGAATATTTAGATCTTCAGATTGCCATATCTGTTTCACTGACCATCTTATTCGCTTTTTGTCTTCATCAGCTGTTGATAAAGCTTTAAGAGGAGATAGAGAGAAAGAAGACGCTCTGATATTTATTACTCAAACTCGTCTTTACTTCTATTATCGATTGCATTATCAGGATAAGTTGCGTTATCGCGTGGATACAGGTCACTGTCTAGATAACTCCTGCGTCATTTCAATTGATTCATTCGTCACTGTGTGTAACCGCGAAACCAGTCCTTTGCTGATGATGCAGAATGGGCAATTTATATTCAAACGGAAGGACCTGGTGCTATCGATTTGTCGCTGCTTTTGTCCCACAGAACGTTCTTCAATCGAGTGGGTGGCGAACTGGTTCACGCGTTTCGAGTTTAACAGAGGAAAATTGCATAGCTTGACGTAATTGAGGATGCAACACGATAATTCATAGATTTATGTTAAAAATTCGAGGCGACGTGCGTATGGCGAAAGTAGTGAAAATTCCTTTGTAAATATTTATAACATAACATTCATCCGTTCATTTTTTTGTTGTTAGTTGTTCGATCGTATTTCATATTCAGAGAGTCGGTCCTTCTCGTTCTAGACGGATCTAGCTAGTAAAGAAGTTCATGCCGTAGGTGTACATACTGGCAGTAAGAGCGAAAGAGAGAAAGAGAGAGAAAGAGATGGGGAAGGAAAACGTTTAGGAGCGAAAGAGAACGAAAGACAACTCTGTTTCTGGCAACAAATTTCGGGCTCGGTGCTCCCATCAGTCGTCGTCGGGGAGCGCGACTGTGCCCGCGGTTTTGTCATATCGGTTCTACAAATGTCCGCAGTGGTGCAGTGACATAAAAATCTATATTTTTCTTCATATAAATCTTTTCACTTTACGTCTCTCGCTCTCGCGCACGTTGATAGATTGCTGAATCTGGACACTTTTTTTCATCTATTTCTCTGTTCTCTATCATGTTTCGTGACATATGCGGCTTGTCAGTGAATTGTCCACGTGTAATATAATGATTTATTCTGGATGATAGCGTGTATCTATTTTTATTGATATGTACATATAGATTTGCATTTAATAAGAAAAGAGTATCTGATCGATGTGTGTTGAAATAAATAAAACAAAGTGTAGTATTATATATTGGGAGATTGGTGAATTGGAAAGAGAAAGAGAGAGGACTTCTTTGATTAATAATTTCAGAACTTCTCTAAATTGACATATGAATTTCATTTACTATTATTATCAGGGGCATTTCCCTGTGTAAATAAGTTGGGAAACAAAAATGCGAAATCTGTATCGAAAGAGAAAACTTTAGTCAATACTCATGTAAACTGTGATACCGTGTGCATGCGCATCCGTAATTAAAACTATATTTCACCTAAACTTTTGTCCGATGTTGCATTGTTAAATAACCTTTTATGATGGAATTCTTCTTGTACGGTTTTAAGTTTTTACTAATGAATAATATTAATTTTTGACGAAAAAATTCTCGGACGTATAATTTTCGTTAAGTCGTGCCACACGTGTAATCAAATTATCTTTATACATATGTTATATAAAGATTATACAAGTTTTACGTAATTATACTGACTTTGTGTCTAATGGAGAACGAAAACAACATAATTAGGCGGCCACATATAACACCATTGTTCTTGACCTTCTCTCCTTTATATTTTTGATCTTCTTTTCTAAGGTCATATAACACTATTCATCATTCATAATGTAACGATACTTTTCACGAAATAACCACAATTTGTGTTGTATTCATAACGAGGAATTTTATCGGATTTTTTAACGAATTAACGATTACAGCCGTAATCAAATATGCGAATAATCTTATACTTTGCACGATCGTTCTGCGAAACTTAGCTTGTAAAAAGAAGCATGTCATAACAATATCCGATGATATTGTTATCATTACCGTGATCGATGATCTCCTGAGATCTTGTTGCATTTCGAATTTATTATTTGCAAATCATCCACTCGTTTCTCGTGAGAACTGAACGACAAATGACGCGGCAGCTGCTGCGTTTAGGCTATAAAATTAGCCTACCTAAATGGAAACGAGGCAGACAGCTGCTGCACTTTCGGTCTCACTTGTACGAGCAATATTTCTTTTACTTTCAGGGTCGACTTTCCTTCTCGACCCTCTCGTCTCATCACCCTCGACATCGACCTTTGAAGCCTTCAGGCGTAGAAAGTCGCCGTACACTTTTCTCTCGTTGACAGGACTCTATCGTATATGGCTAATCAGTACTCAAAACACATGTCGTGCAAACTATAAATAATAGTGTATGTTCACCGCTTTCATCGACTTACTTATGGTCGAAATTATGTTCTCTAAAATTTACTGACATAACTTTCATTCAGAGTGTGTAGGTAAATTCTTGAGGGCCCGTCTGGGTTTAGCATGTCGTCTCCTCTTGTTATCCTCGCATAATAACGTCGGCAGACGATGTATCCTCCTAAGCGCCTCCACCATCACGTGGTGACACCAACCACATACATTTTACGATGTCTCGTGGTTGTAACTATGATCGCGGCTGCGGCGACGTTTTTGCACATTAACAATTACAGACCTAGTAAGTTGAAACAATTACTTTAGGAGAATTCTAGTGCACCGGGAGAAATTTAGACTCGTTTTATAAGACGCATTATAACTTGGTTATATCTAAATAATCTCTAAATCTCTAAATAATCCTCGTTATAAAAACGTGAAAAAAATTGATTCATGTAATAACGTAGAAAGTACTTAGGTGCCAAGAAACGATATCAGTCAATGGTAGCGTGCGGTAACTCGCAAGATCGATCAAAAAGGATTAAGGATTTCCAACGAAACTATTAATGATCGCCACACAGTAATAATAACGCGAAATAATGAGGGAAGCGCGTACGTTTCGCAACTCCATACAATTTGCACAGTATCGATACACGTGCTATAACGCACGCACGCATCATTAATTTTTCTCTCCCGAACGGTACTTTCTATACAGCTTATAACTTTCATCTGTCCCGTCTGTTGAATCGTGTTTTTACTGTTTAAACCGTATACATAAGGAAACCGCTTTCATCGTGTGAGATTCTTTCATACTTCTCTCTCTTTCTCTTCAGCCCGTCTGTTTTTTTTTTTTCAGAACAAACATTTCTCTCCTGCGACAGACCATGTCATCACTTGGATTGGCCCATGATCTGCCGGGTGAAACTCACCTTGGAGGTCTTCCAGTCGCTCAGCAAGTAAGTTGAATCACTACTCAGCTGAAACTTTGCGATCTAAACGCGTGCACGCGATAACAATCTACAAGTAATTTACGAGTAACGGTCTCTCAGAGTCGTATATCATTCTTCAATGACTGTTTGAAATGTACCGAGGTTAAGAATTTGATGAATTAAAAATTATTTTATATATAATCTGGTTTTTATGTAATAAAATAATAAAAAAATGTTTCTTCGTGTAATAATATATAAATATGGAAAATAAGCAGTACTTAAAGTTACTTAAATGGGATATCATGCGTTATTATAACGTAGTTCTTACTTTGTAACGTTTATGTAATAGAAATAGTAAGATAAAAAACTTTGAAGTAGATTTTACTTTCGTGCCAGCAACACGAGCAGCACATTTACGTTACATGTCAACATACATTGCAGTTTAATGACAATTATATAAGAAGCATTCCAATACAAATTCTGCCCTAGTTAATCAATCTTCGTTGTTGTATTATCGTGTCGAATTTAGAAAGTACAACCTATCGTGTCGTTTATTTAATATATATTATGAAAAATGGAAGAAACACCGTATGGAAAATAGAGTAATGTGTGCGCATAAAGAGAATCTACAAGTACAAACTTGATTTCATTATAGTAATTTAATGTATCAAACAAAAATGAAAAACATAAGATTATAGTTTTAGTTTTCATTTTTCCTAGCTTTTGTGTAATTTATTCATGTTGAATTTCATGTTGGGATTTTATCTTCTGTTCGCGCACAGAGCGCGAATACTGTGAGCGAAGTTTCTTTACGAACATATCATAAAAATGCAACAAAACTGCATTTGCAACTCACAGCAAAACTGCAACTCACGCAAAGAAAGCACGACATATTTCTTCACGCGGTGTTGCATGCATCTCGCAAAATGATAATATTATGGACAGTCTGTTTTTATGATTGCAGCACTGAAGCGTTACTCTTACTGTTACGTTAAACATGCAATCACTACGAGCACAACGTTTGGTTTCGGGCTCGTTGGCGCAATAATCGTTATGCAATCTTTAAGCGTTAACCGGTGTAATGCGGAAGACTTGATCGATCATATGTCAGTCTATCGGAATCGGCGTATAAAACGAAGATAGTGACGGCTATAGCCAGTCACCTAGTATTTAGGATCAAGCATTACCGAGAAAACTCTCAACTAGCGTTCCATATCTTCCAGTCATGTCGATAAAGACGGATAATGTTGCGCAAGAAGTACACTTATTTAATGATATAATTCTGTCCCTTGGCACAATGTTTACGCATTTCAGAATCTTGTGTGAACAATTCGTTTGTACGACTCTTTCGTCTAGCTGAAATTTTGCAACTATCACATATCTCTTTTTAAATCATAATTAAGAGATTTCTCTTTACATCTTCATCTTTGTGAAAATTAGATAAGGGATCGATGTGTATATAACACGAGAAAATAAGCAATAATTATATCAAAGTCACGCGAATCGCTCTTTTACGTTGTTATTTATAGATCATGTGGGGATTGCCCGTTGAATCAAACAGCTTGCTTGGCGAATCACTGCGTTTCCGCGGATGGACAGAGACGGGGTATCCTTACGGCCAATCGTCAGATGCCAGGACCTAGTATTCAGGTATGACCTCAATATACACCACGGATCAATAACGCGAGCGCATAATAATTGCAGTTGGGAAGTCGGTAAATCATTCTAAATTCTTTCCACTTCGTCACTTATCACTTTTCCTCATTAGTTTCATGTTTAATAAGAACTATTTTTTTCGTTAACGATTTGTCGATGCTTTGAGATTTTTTACAGTTTGACTTACTTGAGACTAAACTGAACGATTTCTGCGTTTTTAATACTTTATGATGTATAATGTTGCGAATAAATTTTTAATAAAATATAGGAAATTCTGTATTCTACATTGAAAATCGAGATATTCTTAAAATATGAAATATTGAGAAGAATTAATTATCTAAACGATTTAAACGATTTTAGTTGTCGCCACCGATATAATTTTAGAAAACTGTTGCATAAATTTCATGTAGCTGTATGTGACTTAATTCAACGTGGCTTCGCAATTGATACACTAACCTTCCTTCGTCTGCAATTGGCAACCTTCAACTGCAATACTGCAATGAAGGTTGAGCATTCTATCTGGCGTTAAAATTAACTCTTGCGTGACGTGTGATCGAGAAGTGTACACAATACATCCCTTCTGTAATTAATCGCACTGCTTGAATTCGCGGAAACAATTTCGCGCGCGTGTCTCGTTTAACCATACAAGCACTTTGAAGCGAAGAGAGTTATGTCAGACCTCTGATTGATCTTCTTCGTCTGCAAAGATTCTGTTATTCTGAAACTCTAGAAACGCTGATCTTGAGGTTAGATACCTTATTCAATTTTGTGAAATCAGATACCTTATACAATTTTGTGAAATCAGATATTAATTAGTTACTTTCAATAATCTCTTATATTAAATCACGATATAATGCTCTTTCAAGAAGTTCTCGTTCCGATTTATGATACACGTAATTTTTAGATCTATACAGAAGTATACAAACACGAAAAAAACAACTAAATAACAACTAGGAACACAGTTGCTTTATATATTTAGCAGATTGCTTTATATATCTAGCAGATCTATCATTTCGATTTACATAACGGATAAAATGTGCATTTCGAACTTCTTCTGTGTTTCTTTTAATTCTCATGAAAAATTAAAAAAATCAATCGAAACGTTTCGGATGAAGGGTAAGTAGCGAGTGCGCTCTCTTGGTGTTCTTTTTTAAATGCCAATTGAGATTATTCGTTTAATTTCGAGATAAGAAGGATCACGTGAAGATTTTGAAAATAGATAGCGGTGTCTTTCACTCCGGCTAATTGTGAACTGTCAGACACGCTTACGCTTTTATAGGTCTGCGAGAACGACATCCTGGTGGTGGATGTGATTAACCGTCTTCCGGGTAAAGCTACGGCGGTACATTGGCGCGGACAAACGCAAGTGGAAATGCCATATATGGACGGCGTGCCGTTGGTGACGCAGTGTCCAATACCGAGTTATACGACTTTCCAATATAAATTTCGAGCCTCCATGGCAGGCACACATCTCTGGCACGCACATGCAGGTTCGTAATTGCTGCTCATTGCGTGACTATGTAATGAATTGGAGCAGAATAGCTACGTGTATATATAAGTGAAGGCATTAGATCATCCAAGTTCGTTAATTGCGATATAAAAATCAAATATTAGTAAAGTTTTAACGATAACGCTGCGAATAAAAGGGGTCATTTCTCGATGACACTATTTGTCAGCCTAATCGCCCAACATGTTCCGCGTTGCGTGAGCGGCGATTCACGCCGGTGGATCGCAAGAATTTCCGCTCACATTAATGGACATTTTCATTACCGAGAGAAACGTTATCACGGGTCACAGGTGATCTAAACATGACGCGAATAATAAGAAATTCAGTGAGATCCGATGAGATAAGATAAGTGCGAAACGAAATCGCGTACCCATTCAAAAACTATTAATTAAAGTCATAAACTGTTACTGCTAATCGATCCATCGATAAACAAAGTTCTTTTTTAGAGTTTAGGGGTCGGAAGAGCGTGAAAAAGTGTGTGTATATTATTCTGAATAGAATTTAAATCAACGATTTATAAATATGAATTTTGCATGTTATATAGAATTTATATGTTTCTAATAGACAAATAAATTAATACATATTTTAATTGTAACGGAGAGCTTTTTAACGATTGATGATACACGCGACTGAGTTTAATCATTTTATTCGACTAATTGAGCGATAATCTGGCATGAGAAATGAATAGAAATCACGTTTATTATTGGAATTTTTATTGGAATTTTTCAGGCGCCGATGTGACTAACGGTATTTTCGGCTCGCTTATTGTGAGGCAAGCGGATCTTAAAGAACCTCATCGTGCTCTTTACGACATCGACGACCCTAATCACGTGATCCTGGTGACACAGTGGCAACACTCGCCGGAAATCTCGTTTAATCAGGGTCACATGAAGCCGGCGATTCTTCTGATCAATGGAAAGGGTCGTCAGCCCAACGGACCTACGGTACCCTACACAGCATTCACGGTCGTTCCCGGACGACGTCACCGATTCCGCGTCGCTAATGCCGGAGGCGCTGGTGCATGTCCCGTGACGTTGTTCGTCGACAGCCATATGCTCCTCCTGATTGCACTTGACGGACATCCTATAAAGCCGCGACCAGTCACCTCGATAACGTTGGCGAAAGGTTAAGATCCCGTTAAATTTGTCGTCTCTTTCTTTCTCTCTTTTCACTTCTCTCTCTCTCTCTCTCTCTGTCTGTCTATCTGTCTGTCTATCCGTCTGCCTGTCTGCCTCTGTGTAATCTTTAGATGTTAATATAATATGCGCGATGTTTCTCGGGTTTTACGACAGCAATATATCGCGACACTCATGTGAAAGTTAAGCGTGAACATTCTCTTTCTTTATGAAGCTGGTTTTGCTGATTTAATTTCTATTTTCTATTTTTTTTTTAATATCAGATACATGATTAAAAAGCGAGATAGCCTTCGCGTTCTCGTTGGACCGCATGTCTCTAGTCGTAAATCTGCTTCATTTAATGACGCTTGTCTTTTCATTGATCGTTTCCACTTTCGAATGGTGAGGTCTTCAAAAAAATGAGTGACCTGCAACTTTTACCTTCTTGAGACGCGTTGTCTGCTCGAGCCGAGATTTACCGCGAGAAACCCGAGGAATTGTAGTTTCACACGATAAAATCGATGACTGTAACGTTGACTTTTCTCGCGCAAGACGAGGTCTCGTCTCTCGATTCGCCGTGTCCGTCGCCGCTGCCGCGATGGGAATGACGAGCGGTTTTCGATATTCGTTATAGGTGAAAGAGCAGACTTCGTGCTCAAAGCGAGTAAACGCATCGCTTCCTACTGGATGAACGTTCATACGGCGAAAGAATGCGGGACGAGCACGATAAATGGCGCGGCAATCCTCAACTACAAAGGTAGTTCGGAAATTCCGGTGGCCATGGTGGACGGTATCGATCAGCAGGATATCGACGAGATGGAGACGACCAGTTTGGCCGCGACAACAAATCCCGTGGAAAAGTGTGGCAGCTCCGAAAATCTGTGCGTCACAGACATACAAAACATGCGAAAGATGCCGCGCATCCTGGCTAAACCTAAAATGGACGTGACAATGTACTTGCCAATTAACTACAAAATGCAGGCCACCGAATTGATAGGTGAGTTAACTATATTAAGGAAGGTAAAAATGACGCGTTTATGAGTGAAAGTACAATTAAGTCGCACCGTTCGTTATTTGAAAGGTATTCGACATTAATTTACGCGGGTAAACATGTAGTGTCGATTAAACGCTAAGTAACCATTTTGCCGTGTAAATTTTATAGAAATAATTAGATAGAAATCGCATCCTCTATTGATTTTTATTTGAGTTCGAGTTATTAAAATTTACCCTGCTATGCGTAGCTCGCACATATTCCGGTTAGAAAGACACGCGTTTTCACTGCCCTCGAAATGGCTGCATTTCTCATTATATCAATGTCGAACGAGTCTGCAATCGCTCTTTTCCCTGACGGATAATTTAATGGACACACGCGTGTGTGCAATTGCCAAAAAACAAAACTGGATTGTAAGGGAGCTCCATCGAAAGACTTTTTAAAAAACAACACAATATTCAGAGGACCCAAATGGATGCGAGCGCAGAAAGTTTCTTCAAGAGTTATTAAAGTAACGAATGCCGCAAATCTTAATAAGAATAAGCATCGCCAAAAGCGTTGATTTCTCATTAACTTACTTTCCTGTAGCGAAATCACTTATAAATAGGCTAGAAAATAAATAACTATTCGTATTAATATCGAGAGTAGGACAGTAATGGTAAACGTCGTAAATATCACACTATATGAAAGAAACTCGGGATACTCCTGAGTGTACATTAAGAAAACAACGATCGTAATTAAAGTCATGTCAAAGCGAATTTGCGATTAAAGACTTATCGCGAAGATAACGTGTGATTAATCTCGGACCAACGTGAGACGTTAAACGATTATTTGAAATCCATCAAGCGATTTACAGAACTGGACTAAACACTGTAATTACAACATGAGTGCCATTTTCTCTGTCCAGGTAATGGCGGGTCGGAAATGCGAGTGCTGAATGTGGACAACGCCACTTTCACGTTTCCGTCGTCGCCGCTATTGACTCAAGGTAGTGACGTGTCTCCCGGGATGCTGTGCTCCAACAGCAACCGGAACGGCAACGAGGACGAACGTGGTGAGAGCAACGAGACCGTGCCGCGACGTCGATGCCGTATTGGCGGCGACACCACCGGTGCGAGCAACATGTGCGAGTGCGTACACGTGCGTCACGTGCCACTCGGAGCGACCGTGGAAATTGTTCTCTTGGACCAGGGTAATTAATCCGATTCGAGTGTAATTAAAATGTAGCTTGCAATGTGACGCGAGTATCTCATGTCATCTCAAATCTCACGCGTATCTATGCGACTTTCGTCTCTCCCTTTCCTTTTCCGCGTAAAGAACATATTTATCGTATGCGTTTGCTTTGCATGGAATGTAGAAAGGTAAGAAACAGATTTTTTATCCTCACAGGTAAACAAAACTCTCGACGTACTTTGTGCTTTCGCGAGATTCGCGTAAAAGTCTATTTCCCTTCGTTTACTGATCGTAAAACAAATATTAAGGAATTTTTTACGAGACACTTTTATAAAGAATGATAAAGTATTAGAAGACTCATATAGCAACCTGGTACATTGGTCGTGAGATGGAGAGCTTTCTTTCGCGCAAGGTCGCGCATGGCGGCCTATTAGATCAATTATTACGTAACTATTAATCGATGGCGCACACGTGCTTGGGATAATCTTGTAGCGAACGAGACGGCGCATGATATAAGATGGTAACACACAATGGCGTATAGGCTTGACCGAGGGGTGCCGATGTCCTTGATCTATATCCCGTATTTCTCGCGAAAGCTGGAAGTATTGATCGAAGCTTCTGCCTGGAATCATTCACACAGAGTGTGTTGTATATATCGCCTCTACTCCCTTGGGAGCAATATTTGGCGCGTCATCGTGATTTTTCGCAACGACACGCGGGAGCTAAAAGAAAGCCCGCGATTTCCAACGACCACGCACGAAACGATTGGTCTCCCTTATAAAGCTTCGCAATTAAATCGTATACGAAGTAATCGTCGCATCAAACGTCGGTTCGCAATGTCTCTCATGAAACTATGTTTCTGCTAAGTGACAATTTCCTTCTGTCTAGCGACAATTTCCAACTTTCTATTGGACTTATATACATGTGTCTTTGTTTCGGGTCTCTTTAATTAATCAAATAACACGTAAAATAGGAATAGCTATATGCTATGTTATAGTCACTTTTCTTTTGCCATAGGTGGTCTGGACGATTTAGTGTATCACTTGCATGGCTACAGCTTTTACGTGGTAGGTGCCAGACAATTCGGACGAAGTATGTCATTGCAAGATATAAAAAATCTGGACGAGAGAAAGCAACTGTTCTCGCGAAATCTCGACTGTGCACCGGCCAAAGACACCATCGTTGTACCCAAATTTGGTGCCGTGGCGTTGCGATTTAAAGCTGACAATCCGGGTAAGTTATTCACATTTAAATTTGTTAGTTATTTATGCAATAGTTGCTTGATTAATTAATAATTACTTGGATGAACTGAATTATGAGATGTCTTACTTTACCTTGGTTCAATCGTTAGCAATATACTGGGATCTATCGTCATTCAAGGTTAAAATTTTTGAATTATCGTGTATTGAAAGTAAAAATTTCTCACGCCATTCAAACTTCGTGGGTTCCGATAGATAATAAAATATCTTTGTTCACTTAATTTCAAGTAAATTTTGACAAAATTTTTATATTTGTTCCAAAAAGATATTTGATACGCAAATTTAGAAAGTTGTTATAAATAACGAATTCTCCGTCAGTAAATTTTCTGAGGAACAATTGGTTCTAAATTCGTCAAATGCGCTGACGGTAACAATTTGTCTGTTAGTAAGAATGAGGTATCTTGTATAAGAGCGTAATTTACGACGTAATTTGGTGAGATTACTACTTTCACTTGGTTTCGTAGGTTATTGGATGTTACGAGATGAACACGCGGCTGATTGGACTCGCGGTTTAGATGTTATCCTGCAAGTCGGGGACCCTAGCGACATGGTAGTTGCGCCGCAGGATTTTCCCAAATGCGGATCCTTCGTTGGACCCGATTATTTCCTTATATAGACTGTTAATCACTTAGTTCGATTATATGTATATATTTGTATATAACAATAATATTCCGAACACAAGACTAATTGCAAGTAGATGAATTTTATTACAATATTTTTTTATGAATAAATATTCGCTTATATATTTAATTCGTTTGTGAATATCTTTCTCTTTTTTCCTTAAAGCTCTTTTACGCTTTCTCTCTTTCTCTCTCTTTCTCTCTCTCTCACTTATGATTTTCTACACCATCATAATTTTCTTTTCTTCGTGAAAAACTTGATTATACGCCACACAATTTTCCTGCACAACTTCATTTTCGATCTTAATTAACTCGATCCTGCGATGAATAATCTGTTCCGGGAATTCCTCTGTAGCAGAGGCGCAGCGGAATTTCCTATAATTTCCAACTTAATAATTAAATTCTACTTTAAATCATAGTTGTATTATAGTGTTGCGTGGCAAGTACATTTTGAGCTTGGCAAGTTTTTGGCACATCCCTCGCATCCTCGTCAGTCGTCCTTCTTCCTTCGAACAGACGACAGACGCCGCTTTCGCGGTTCATTTCAGCGCGCACGTCACGCATTTTCGCACGCGCTTTGACATGATTGGATGCGACTGCAATTATAACCGTGACTTGTTCTTCCGCGGTGTCAAAAAATCCCGAAGGACTGACGCGCGACCACGTCAGTGATGTCCTGCCTGAGCGCGCTGCGTTGGCAAATAACGACACTGTTCTCGGTACCTCAGGAGTTGCTGCTTCTGCGACACAAGGTCTTCCGCGAATACGCCAAGATCGCGGTCGGACCGGATTTTATTCACACATTTCCCTCAATCTTGATTCTGACGGCCGCAATAGTCATCCTGTGGAAACATCCTCCGTCCAATGGTCGATTTCTACATCTTTTAGGCGCAACTTTCGTGTACAGAGCTTTTCAGGTATGGATATATCTATGATATGTAACTAACGCTCACGTACATGTACACGTGCGTCCATCCTTCAAGGTATCAGTCAGCTGGCTCGCGATTAATGCGCTTTTATGGCTGTGGCTGATCCTCCAGAGTGTGCTCTACTGCAGCATCTGGTATTATTGGAGTTACGTGAGTAGAATCATTCTATTTGTAAGTCGAACCATTCTTTCTCGTAAGTGACGTTGACGAAAAATTGGTCAGCAATTCACTTTTGTTCAAAAGAGACTAAGAGTTTCTGAGTAAAGTGAGCTTTCTAGTGTCTCGTGAGATAAGAACAACTACGGCAATTTGAACTGTTCAATAAAATAGCTATTAACTTTGAGTTTCAATAATTAAAGACGAGTATTTTCAGCGAATGATTAAAGTGCACTGGAGATCTTCTTTTATATGAATAATTTCAAGACACGAGAGGATTCTCTTGAGAGATTTGCTCGACTTAAATTAGCAAGACTCGACGGTTGTTTTATTTGGCACAAGTTATTGTACATCACGGTATCTTGAAAAATTTGTTACGATTGTCCTGTCGACGCAGGAGTCTGAGCAACGACAGGTTCTGTATCGCGCCTGGTGGCAACGTCTCTGGTCCTCGTATTATCCCGCTCGTGTGCAACCGTCGGTGGTATCAACTGAATTTATCAGTTGGATTATCGCAATGTCGATAACGACAACCGCACTAGGATTTGCGGTTTATATGGATCGCGTGGCATCTATCATCAAGAAGATTCTGATTAAAGTTCGAGATGTACTTGTGATGGCGATCTGTTATGTCAAGCAGCCATGGGAAAGGTTAGTACCATTCTTTTGGTATCTTTTTCTTCTTTCATTATTTTTATCTGTTTTATCTGTTTTTGACTAACATACGTTGTTCAAATCGAGCGTATCTTCATTTACAGTTAAAATCGTTTCGATCGAGTAAATTTCGAATTAGAAAAATTCAAAATGTAGACTGATATACGAACGTTGGAAAATTATGAACAACTAAAGATTAAAAAGATATATAGATATAGAAGAGAGAGAAAGAGATGTTGGAGTATCACGCAGTGATAAAAGTAAAATTCTTATGCTCAGAGCCGAAGCTGAAGAGATAATGATAAATACCGAGACGAACATGATGGAGGACAGCGAGATCGGTTCAATTCCCGACGATACTCCTTCGGAGATGTCGGTCGATACGAATGGTCCGACGTCAGGGGACGTGCATCAGATCTCTTACAGGACTAACTGGATACCGCAGCCAAATTTCGCCACGTTCAAGGAAGCTCATCGAAAGATATCGATGAAGTCTTTTCACACGGTAGCAGGCGTAAACGATATTCAGGTAACGGTGGAAAGGACAAACTTTCTTTTCATCACTCGAGATATCTTCTTTCTCTCATTATTCTCAAACGACACCACGACAACTTTCATGTTGGAAATAAAGCCTGCAGCCTTCGGTACATATGCTTGTTTAAATAACAACAGTTGTTATGTTATTCGACAACTGAAACCATAAGCAATAGTTACTGACGTAACTGTTCTATTTTTGGCAAGAAGCTGCAGTTCCTTGGGAACTACGTTCGGATTCCAAAGGGATTGCTGCCTCTATAGACGCGAGCTGTAATTGTAACGCCGGTTGTCGTTTTCAGGATTCCGATAAGATCGCCGCGAAGCAAGCGCGACACCGACGTGGCTGTCACACCATGATACCTAGCAATTCTAGTGATCAGTCGAGTGAACATTGAGGGAATGATCTGTCGGTCTCGCTGAATGTGTCTCTCGATAATTGAATCGTACTTAACGCCGGGCAAATTTATTTCGAATATAGCTCATAAAAACTAGAAAATATTCGCTTCAATTCGTGCAAGTATCGCGCCGTGGCTCGTATATCACTAAACTCCAATATTTTCTACATTAAGTTTATACTAAATTTCTGACAGAAGTATTTTGAGAAATGTATATTTTTATGATTCCGCTTTTGCTCGAGAGAACGCGATATCGTGAGAGCGTGGATTTTACAATAATTGCAAGCGTCGATGAGAAACGTCGCTCCAGCAGTATACAGTGAACGCACTCATTACGTAAAAGCGTAACGTAACGTAACGTTACGTAATCTCAGAATCGCGTGCTGCTGATTGTATTTTAATAGAGTTATATTTTGTATATGAATTTTTCATAAATAAACGTATGAAGTTTTCGTAACAACGTAGGGGCGATCGATACGAAATTCGCGACTCTTTTGTGATGTTCTATCAGCGCGCGCGCATGCACGCACAGATGTACGATACCGTAGGAGAAGCATATTTACTGCGGATGCGGCGACGGAAAAATAAGTTAAACAGCAACGGTTTTCTCGTTTAGCGTCTTTAAAAGAACGCTTTTATCAAGCGTGGTGTTATCGCGTGACGCACCATCCTCCTCGTTTTCCTTTTGATTATTTATCGAGTAAAAAGTCCTGCGCTTCTGACCAACCCCCAGGACTCAGCTTAGTCGTTTGGTGGGGTGGAACGGCCGGAAGGGCGCATGCGTCCGACGGGGGTAACATACCCCATCTTGAACCGGAGCATTATTCTGTAACCACATCTCCTGTGGGGTAGGTCGCAAGTATTCGTGATAAACACAACGTACGAAACAAACATCGGTCAGAGCCGAAAGTGCACCTTCGTGAACATCGTTCTCGAGAAGCGGAGCCGCGCGCGAGTCGCCCCGGAATCGATTTTCCAGTCGGCAAAACCCGTCCGGGTAGAATCCAGGGAGAGAGATTCGGTGCTGAAACGGAGAGAGAAAGAGAGAGGGAGAGAGAGAGAGAAAGAGAGTCGGGCGTCAACGATCCTTTGCGGCGTAACGAACATCCGTTCCGTCGAACGATGTAATTATCACGCGCAATAGCAGATTGTGCGAGTATCATCACGAAACACGGAAATTCAACGGTCACGATTGTTGCATCGGAATTCTGCGCGGATTCTTTGGTAAGATCTTATTTAACCAAATAGACAGTGAACGAACGTAATACGTAAATATTCACGCTCGTTTTGCTGATTGAAAATGCAGAAACTTAAAGTGAGACTTGATATTTGATAACGTGAGGAGAGAATAAAGATTGATGGGTTTCTTTCCGGCTAAGATGTGCGGATTAATTGCGGATTTGCACTCGTGGGAACGTGATTACGTATAGGTGAAGGCGTAGATTTAAGGATAGCGTCTTATCTTCACCGTACGCTAATTCGCAGCTATAAATGACAAATCGCTTCGTCGCGTTCTCGCTTAGTGAGTAGCTGTCTTAATCGATAAATGCACGCGTACATATGGTAATTGATATTATACACGATTTACGTCGTTCATTTAACAAGAATCCATTTCCCTCGCGTTATCGGGCGTGTGATGTAAAAGCATGCCGGTCATCCCGCGCAGAAACTTCGTCTAGGATGTTTATCGCGATAATGCGAACGTGATATTGCAATATAATCCTACGATACGATAAATCCATTAACCGTGACGTCTAAATAAATACCCGAGTGTGATAAATATGTACAACATTGATAATTTTTCAGCGTTATTCCGTTGTCTGTCGTAACGTTGAATAATATCGCATCCTACAAAACGACTTGAACGTAATGCAAAAAGCACTTAAATGCCAAAGATATCAAGGTTGAATAATATTACTTTTCTCTACACCCTAAGTAATGTCTAACTCCCTTAATGTCCGTCACGGAAATGAAACATCATTATCGATTATTATTAATAGTCCGTTTTAATATCTCTTCTTATCGTAAGAATTGTGAAATTAGACGTGCATCCACGTTTTCGTGACTTGTATTTCTCTCTTCGTCGCGTTTTTAAAACTATGCTTCTCTTTTTCTCCCACGTGTGTATTTAGCTTCAGCGCGATTCTTTTCGCGTTAAAATATTCGGGATATTTCGTTTCATTACACGAGCACGTTCTCTGACGCAATCGCGAGCCTATTCAACACCAGCTAGCCCGGCGTTGCGTGGTGTGCAAATTTCACGACGGGATTCGCGGGATCCACGTGTATGTACATAGACGCGATGTAAACTTGATATTGATTTTGCGTTCAGCATCCAGCGCGTGGAGTGAAGCGCGCGCACGACCGAACGGCGCAAATGCGCGCGTACTGACGCGAACGTGCACACACGCGCGCACCCACATACGTGCTTCACGTGTATACACAACTTAGCACGTGCACCCTCTTCAGCCTCGGCCCCGAATTGGCTCGGCTACAATGGAGAAAGAGGCAGGGTGGTAGAGGGTTTCGTAAAGGAGGGGAAGTTTTCAATGAGCGGACGCGCGAGCTAACGAACGTACGTTGTGGCGAGGGATAATACGCGCGAATGCTTCCGATATGCCGGATATGAAGGAACCGGTTGGTTACCACTACTGGGGTCCACTACTGACGAAAGGTGACACGCTGAACGCGCGTTGTTGCTGAGAGTGTAACGAAAAAACTTGCCGGGCCGCGCAAAGATTCGCGAAAGGTCTGAGAGCTTTGTGAGCCCGTTCCCCGGCATTTAGAAAGCCTCTTGGTTGAATAATTAGCTGCCTTTTTTATTGTAATCTCAACTATGGTATAAGAACGGTATGAAAAAAATGAAGAGAAAAGTTTTAATTAAATTTAGCGATATTTGCGCAAGACAAATGTGAAAGGTCGAAAGGCAACGCAAGTAAAAAAGAAAAACACATTTTCCTGTTAATGTTCTAGGTGGTCCCTTGAACGAAATTTTTTGAAAACTGGAAGATTAAAAAAAGAGTTTGATGTTGAATATTAAGGATTTGTAGAAGAAGTGATATAATGACGGTGTTCAATTGATCTTTTACGAGAAGAAATTCGTCTCATAAAAAGAAATATTCGTCTTTTGCTTGAAAAGAGGATTATTATTAAACTTGATAAGCTAAGAGTTATTATCGTGATTTACTGCTAATTATGATTCAACTGTTTCACCTATCTTAGAAATATCAATACTATGTATTACGTAATTTTGCGTTAAATTGATTAAAAGTTAACGAAATGTGCGGTCGATACCTTTTCCATATTGGAAATCAGTGAGGTGGATGAAACGAAACCGATTATTGGAAAAGCAATCCCCGAACGACACTCGTAATTGCCCGGCTCGCAATTGCGTGCCAGACCTTATCAGAACGTGGGCGGGCAGATTTATCAAGCGGACACATCGTGTTTTTCTATGAATGCAATAAAGGTCACAACAAAACACTACCATTTAAAACACGTACTCATACCAACGGTTTTCCAGGAATTCGTCAATGCCACAAAATTAACTTGGTTGATTCACGTTGGAGGACATTTAGCGGAAATGTAGCAAATAAACGGATTAAAAGAAACTAGTGGTCATTTTGTAGAATTCTGCGTATGTAAGAAATCTTTATTTAGGATTAGTCTTTATTTTTTTGGAAAGAGGTTTAACGAAATAAAGAGACATTCGAAATAATAATCCAAATATTTGGAGAAATCTAATTTTATATGAAATCTAGAAGAAATAAAAAGAATTCTGGAAATTTAATATTATATAATTCCTATATATAACTTTCTTTCGAGCAGTTTATTTTTAGAGAAGCTATATGTAGAAGAAGGCAGTAGGAGATATATTTATATTTCATATAGATATATTAACTATTTTTCGCACCCACGTTAAAACATCGCGTAAGTCCTTTCTAGCAACAGAACTGTTCTAAAGCGCCGTAAGACAATTTTATAATGATTGATCACATGAAATCGATTGCCGCGCGAAGGTCGCGTGAAACTACGTTTCACCCTACCAATTACGTCCAAGGACCTTCGCGCTCCCCTTTATACTCAGTGTCCTCTTTCGACACGTTTCAGACCCCATGGCGGAAAAAATGTACTACTGGGGTGAGGAGAAGGATCAGGTCGATCCCGACCAGACCTTCATAGAGTTCAAGGCCAAATCGGTGGGGGCGGAAAAGAGACGTGAGGCTTCCCGTTCTGTGCCGAAGATGACGGTGTCCTCGCCACAGGGAAAAATGACTGAGATCACCGGAAACCGAGAGGAGGATGCTGAGCGCGGTGGTTGGGGCAATAAACTCGACTTTCTGTTCTCTTGCATAAGTGTTTCCGTAGGCTTGGGAAATGTTTGGCGGTTCCCTTACCTCTGTTACAAAAACGGCGGCGGTAAGTCGACATTTTAAAATTCACCAACAAGCAAATTAAACAATTATTCAAAGCTCATTACGATCTTTTCAATGAATTAATTATAATTATATACTATTAAGAAATATATACTCCATTCAATTTTTTATCAAAGTGGAACAATTATTCTCTTGAAAAAATCAAAGTCAAAATCAAAGATATTTTTATAGACGGAAGAACTGCTGTCTCCAATTTAAAGCCTAATTTCTAAGAGATTGTTTTTATTTTAGCGTAGGATCTTTAAATCTGTTATTTCGTTTAGTTTTGCTAGAATTCGTTACTTTAAGTCGAAGACACAGGGAGCGTCGGATTGCAGTAGCGCCCGATATCCATAATTGTCCTTCCAGATTAGTCACGCAAATCTTAATATGATGAAAGTAACGTACATTAAGATTTAGTGTCTGTGGTATTCCCGAGTTGAATTATTACTTCGCGGTTAATTAATTAATCCTTTTATGTTCGTGTAAGAAAAATATGCCTAAGGTAGAAGAAAAGAATAATATAATTATTTGTATATTCGAATGGCGGATAAGAAATTATTAAAATCTTTACAATTCAGTTATACAAAAGCAAATATTGTTATTCAATAAAAGATTGGTATCTTTATACATTTTGAAATTTTGCAACAGGTGCTTTCCTGATCACTTATGGCATCGCTATGCTATTCTGCGGAATCCCTATATTTTTTCAAGAAGTCGCTATCGGACAATATCTCGGAGCTGGTGGAATGTCGTTAGTGGGACAACTGTGTCCTCTCTTGCAAGGTATATATTCTTGTTCTCTGATATTATATATTCTTTAAACGGAAATATATATCAAGTGATCAAATAATCATGATATGACTGTCATAACACATATCTTAATGTATCTTCAACATCGTATTTCAGGTGTGGGATATGCCACGATGACCATTGTATTCTTCCTCGACGTGTACTATTGCATAATTATTTCTTGGACACTTTTCTACCTCATAAGCACGTTTGTGAATTTACCCGGAGTACCTTGGAGTGGATGTCGTAAGCAGGATATTTTTTAATTATTAAGAAATTAAATTACTAAATATTTCGAAATTTTTAAAATATATTCAATAAAAGATGTAAAAGTTATCCAGAAGTATTTTTAATTACATTTTCAAAACCATATGAACCATCATAATACGAAGCGACGACTAGATGCCAAATTTTTATTAACTTATTAACTTATTATTATTTATTTATTATTATACTTATTATTATACTTATTTTTATTTATTTATTAACTTATTATTACCACTTTTACGTTATTACAGCATTTAACATCGGTAAAATGTATGTTTATCACGGAACATATTTTTCAGATAATTGGTGGAACACAGAAGATTGTTTCGACGCGACTCAAGGGAGCAAAAGTATACAAGGAAGAACGAACTGCACGATTTTTATCGGAAATAATACCTGCCATCATACCACGCCAGTGGAAGAGTATTGGGAGTAAGTAAAGCGCTTTCAAAAAATAATCACGATACATCACTCATTATACAGAACGTAAATGCTGATCAAACACTTCACGTTTTATTTTCCTTTACTTCCTTTCACTTCTTTTCTTTTCACCTTCTTTGAGATTGCAAAACTTTTCAAACTTCGTAGTTAATAAAACAGTGTCCCTTAATCATATGTGTCCCTTGTGAATTTTGTAACGCTCGTGATGTAAATTGTAAGGTACCAAGGGATTCGACGTAAGAATCTGGAAACACGACATTGATTTTCTTAAATCAGGTCAGAGCAACTTCGCTCGCGTATAAATGCACTTACGTAATGCACAATATCGACGACAGTAACACTCGTCCCGAGGGAGCACGTGTTCACGTGCGTGTATAGCGAATTTGCGATTTTTATCAGTCTAACATGAGGATGTTGGATTGAATGCGCTTCATGTAAGAGCTACTTTTAAACTAATTACCTCGTGCCGATAGTAGTACACGACAAGGGCAATCATTACGACGCGAAAACGCAATCGGTCGTTCTCATTTAATCCGATAATTGCGCGCACCACACATCTTATTATAGATATAGCTCGCAAAATAACGATAGAGATTTTTCACACGTTGTGATCATCGTCCTTCACGTCTAATATTAAACCATTGTGATCCTGTATCGAGTCTACGTCGGCATGACATTATGTTTCAGATGATTCGTTCCTGTTAAGCAATTTTTGACATATTAATACGACACTCAATATAAATTCACTATTATGAATGTGTGTCGTTGCATTAGTTAGATGCTCAAAACATCAAATCAAACGCACAAACCACTCTCTGAAATCTGTATTAATAATTATTACTTGAAACTCGTCTCTAGTGAAATACTTAGATCTCGATTCAGAGTTAGAGGTTACAGATACATAAATATCACATATACTATGGCCGGTATTCATAGTCAGATCTTATTTCAAGACCGTCTTAAGATGCGAATACGGCTCTGTAAGTGGTTCATGACATCTTAAAATAATACTTAAGATGATCTTAAATATAAGATCGGACTGTGAATACGGGCCTATGATTCAATTGCAAAACTTTTGGATCCAACTCTGAATAGAAATTTGAGTATCTCACATGAAATTGGTTTCAGAGGTGACGAGTGTTTATTCGCCTAATCTCTTGTGGTGAAATTCCACTTAAAACAAGTGATTTCTGTATTTTCAGGCAACGAGTTCTCGGAATTACATCCGGCATTGAGAGTATCGGCAATATTCAATTGGAGCTACTCGGTTGCCTGATTGTCGGCTGGCTGCTCGTTTACTTTATCATCCGGCGCGGTCTTCATCAGAGCGGTAAGATCATCTGGTTTTCAGCCTTGTTCCCGTACGTGGTGCTTTTCATTCTTTTGGGAAGAGCGGTGACGTTGGAGGGTTCCTACGAGGGTTTGCTTTACTACGTGACGCCGCGATGGGAGGAATTGCTCACGCCCGGGCCATGGATAGACGGCGCTACCCAGATCTTTTTCGCCTACAGTATCGGCACCGGCGCCTTGCCCGCCTTGGGCTCTTACAACAAGTTTCATCACAATTGTTACAGGTAAGGAATCGCGCATCCGGTCATACGATCGCAGCTGTCCTCGACGGGTCGTTCTCATGCCACGTTAGACCGTGCCACGGCGACGTTAAATCTTCGTAACGGGTCACTTAGCCGATCGGAAACCGATTTTTCATCGACGAAAATATCGATGTGCTAAAATAGTTTTCATGTAATTAGTGACAGAGAGCGAGAAGCGTTCCGTGAACACCAATAAAACACACGAAAGCATACGCTTTGGTAGTGGAATTGAGTTAATTTATTCTTTTAATGTTTTATGGCTGTTCTCCAAACTCCAAACGGTCCGAGAAAGCCCATCTAATAATTTCCTTAACTCTAATTATCTCGGACTTCTTTGACATATATCGATTGTTTGTGGCTTTAATAGCGCGGTCTATTCTTTAATCACGACGCACTCCATACGGTGTCGTCGCTGCTGGAGTCTTTCAAAAAGGGAGTTTTGTCTTACAGAGACGCAATAATCACTTGCGTAGTCAACACCCTGACGTGTCTTCTGGCCGGTTGCGTAACCTTTTCGATACTGGGTCACATCGCCCAGGAACAACAAACGCAGGTGTCCGAGGTCGTCAAGAGCGGACCTGGTCTCGTGTTCCTTACGTATCCCGAGGTCGTTCTCAAGCTACCCGGTGCTTCCTTGTGGGCCATTATATTCTTCATTATGCTGCTCGTAAGAAATTGTTATTCCGACGGCGGTATCGGACACCGCCGTCAATGTTTGTTAACGCGCCTTGCGCTATAAGAAAGGGGCTGAGTGATACCCGTTGCCACCCTAGGCAAGAATCTTCTCTCGACGCGTCACGGTTTAATCGATATTGTACTATTTTATTCCTTTGCCAAGAAAAATTGGCGTTGACCCGACTGTACGAAACGAGATAACCATTAAAGTGAGAAAATTTGGAAGATAAGCCCAAAGTAGTTTTCTTATTGTTGAGTCAATGACTTGCCAATTGAACGAAATTGGTCAGGGTAACTGAACAAATCCGCGTCAATGTAATTCAGTAACGTCACTTTTATATTTTAAGTCCTATGAACATTTCGCAAGTTTCATGTTTCTCAGTCTGCTTGATTTCTCTGCGTATGCGTTTTAAAACTTTTCTCTTTTAGCCTGTGGCTCATATTACTGATCTCTCATGAAGTATTAATCTACTTTATATCTAAGATCTGTTAATAATTTTATTCAGATCGATTAGAATATAACAGCGATCGAAATTTCAGTGTAAAATTGAGTATGTACGAAGATTCTATACAAATTGCTTTACTTTCATGCAGATACTCGGTATCGACAGTGAATTTTGCATCGTGGAGTCTTTCATAACGGGTATGGTCGACTACTGGCCGGACAAACTTCGCCCTCACAGAGTCAAGTTCACGATAGCTATTTGCCTGATAATGTTCGCCCTGGGAATCCCAATGGTCACGAACGTTAGTATCGTATATAATGAGAATTTAACGAAATCGTTAAAAGTTCTAAACGTGTAGAAAAATTTATTGGGAAAAGGGACAATTAAGATTTCGCTTTTTAGGGTGGAATCTACATTTTCCAACTGATGGACTTCTACTCCGCGAGTGGAATGTCCATTTTGTGGGTGTGCTTCTTTCAAACGATTGCGATCTCATGGATCTTTGGAGCACAGAAATTCTGCGATTGCGTGCATCAGATGATGGGAATTCGATTGAACAAATTCTGGTACATATGCTGGGTCCTACTCGCGCCGATTATCATGGCTGTAAGTATCGCGTAAACTACGTTTGCGCTAATTATCATATATATTCTAATATACTAACAAGTAAATCTATCCAAAAGGTACACTCCGATTTTTTTCTAATTTGACACAAATGTAAAAGTACAACAAATATTTAGGTCATATTTCTTCATTTTGGTTTACTTTGAGTTTCACGGGCAGTTTATAGCTTTTTAATGTTCTCACTCCTATCATCAACAAGTACAACAAAAATGCATAAAATATAAAATTGAATACGAGATATAGTTAAATAATTTTAACAAAATCGGCATAGCTAAAACACGAATTATTCTAAATTTCTTTAGCCGAGAATCTAACCGAAATATTTTAAATCTGTGCTAAATTAGTCAAAAATAGAATCTCGGCCAAACCGAGAGAAATCCGGCAATTTTAATTAAAATTTTAACAAAATCGGCATAACTGAGACACGAATCATTTAAATTTAAATTTATTTAAATTTCTTTAGCCGAGATTCCAACCGAAACATTTCAAATCTGTGTTAAATTAATAAAAAATAGTTCGAATTTCAGCTGAGAGAAAGAGAGAAATCCGGCAATTTTAATTAAAATTATGATAAAATCGATATAGCACTGAGACACAAATCATTCTAAATTTCTTTAGCCGAGATTCCAACCGAAATATTTCAAATCTGTGCTAAATTAATAAAAAATGGTCCGAACCTCAGCCAAACTGAGAAATTATTAGTATAAATAATTTATTTTCAACTTTTTACATGTTTTGTTTTAAATATTTTATTATTTATACAAATAATTTTACACATTTGACTTCATATTCATAATCAGTAAACCAAAAACGTCTATATCTTGTATTTAATTTTAGTGCTTATGCATTTTTGTTGTATTTGTTGATGATAGGAGTGAGAACATTAAAAAGCTATAAACTGCACGCGAAAGTCAAGTGGACCAAAATTAAAAAATATAACCTAAATATTTTTTGTATTTCTACATTTGTGCCAAATGAGAAAGAAATCGGACTGTAACTTTTGGATAGGTTTACTTATAAGATCAATATTTATCGTAAATATTTTAACAAGTTCACAGAAAATCATTGACCAACCGTTTTCAAGCAAATTAGAGAACAAGCAATATTACATGATACAAATAATTTTTCCCAAACTTGATTATGGTTATTTTATCTCTTTCACTCCAGTTTATCTTCGTATTCCAATGTGTGCAATATAAACCGCTCAAGTATGGCAGTGATTACGAGTATCCGACGTGGGCAGAAATAGTCGGTGTGTGCTTGAGTCTCTCATCTATGATCTGGATACCGGTGTATGCGATATATTACGTAATAGTCACACCAGGATCGATTAAGGAGGTAAATCTTCATTTGCGAAAAGTCACTACTACTTGCCGTCGTATATAACGCGACTATAATTCTAGAATTTCTTTCGCGGATGTAAGTCACCGTTATTGTGTTATCTTCTTTTCAGAACATCTTAAAGGGTTTACAGCCTAACATAAAATCGCACGCAAAACTACCGAAAGGCGAGAAGTCGGCCGTGATACCAATGTCAGAAAGCAGTGCAGGTTTAATCACGAAAAATAACAGTTTCTTAAGTCAAACATGATTGGCGCTAGCGATCACTTTTAACTCATGTTAGGTTACATTTATCTTAAAAATAATATTTATAGTAAGATAAATATATATATAAATATATATAAAAGTGAGTCCAGCGCACGTGACTGGTTCAATAGTAATTTGTGTCAAAGCGGACGCGTGTCAAATGTCGAATTCAGTTTCCATCGTCTCGTATGTTCAGTTCCGCAGCGATCATCACACTATTATTTATTTAACGATAAGTCGTATAGTATAACGTTTATTTAATGACATGTTCCCGGTAAGAATACCAGATATGCTCCCTAATTCTTTAACGGCTGGCATTGGTCGTGATATTCCGATATTGGGACAATTTCGAAAGTTCTGTCTTGTTAAAGAAACTCTTTTAAAGTTTTCTCTCTTTTAGACGCATTGTTAATTTTACCACAACCACGTAACGATTCGCAACGTCGGAGTTATTATATTATCTCGCAGATGGCGTTTGAGATTTCATCATCCGAATTTTAATTAGCACACAACAATCCGCGCCAGCTGTTAGGGATTTAGGGCAGAGAATTTTGGCTGAGAAAATTACTTGGGGAATCGCGATTCGATGATTCGTATGCGTTGACCAAGTCGATAAGATACTCAGTAAAAAGCGTAATAAGTATAGGAAGCGGAACGACGGAGCGAAGAGAGGGAGAGAGTGGTGGACGCGGAGAGAATGTACTTTAGAAATAATAATAGTGTATCGCGCTAGTATTCAGATAACTATTTATGCGGACAATTTGAAAGAAGTATATTTTTATATCGCGATCATGTCGCGATAATTGATATGAATTTTTAACGGAGAGATTGTTTGGTTGATGATTCGACTGGTTTAATTCACGTTGACGAAGACCTCAAGTTCTCGCGTTCAGAGGGATCGCGCGCGAGCTTTTGGGGAAAACGAATAGAAATTTACATTCTCTCTCCTGGGGCTTGCATCTACTCCAAGTAGTGGTGCAACTCGCGAGCTGTTCGAAAGCTTTCCCCGGCGGAGCGCATCGAGGGATTCGCAGCAGCTCTACGAAGTAACATAGAAACATAGCGCGTAGAATAAGTACGGATATACTGGCAGTTACTAAAATATACTCAATACATACCGAAGTACAAGTAAAACGAGGTAAAAGTCTAATTTTTGCTACTCGCGTTCGAATGTCGAAGTGACTCGATGCGTTCGTCGGGACGAGACGAATCTCCGATTTCAACCAGTCGCAATGATCAACTGGACCACGTAGCAGGAAATACGAGATATTTCTATTGACAAAGCAGTTTTGCAGTTCGCGCACTGCATTCGACTCTTCGACAGCACAAATTTTTCAGGATCCTTCTTTTCTTTCCTATGCGTCCCACATTTATAAAACGCGAATTATATCAGCGCGAGACGCGAGTATGATGGCGTGTTTATGATGTGATGTGAACGCACGGTTAACAAAGCGATGTATAATTTTCACCGTTATTGACTCGGCCGAAATTTCAGTTTACATTCGAGACACTCGATTTCATAATGCCACTAATTTAGCATCGTTCCAGTTTTACGGACATTTCTTTAAGCGCGCAGAAAGTGCGGAAGAGCGATTGAAGTTTGCAATTAACGTCACTAGCGACAAGCATTCAGTGTCTAAAGACACGTCTAACAGTATTTGATAAAACTGATGTTACATTTAGAGAGTATGTTAGAATTATTCGAAAGATACTTTAATTCTGTAAGCGATGTTATCCTGTTTAATCTCCTAAAGCAGAGTTTTAATCTATTCGACTGATTCGAACGTCAAGGTATCCTTTGCAAAAATTCAACTCTATATAAACCTTATTTTCCACATTATATTACTTCAAGTATATATATTATTACTTTTGTTGCTCATTAATGCTCGTAAAAACTCCAAACTTTCGATTTCTTTTCTGACGTAAAGGTATTTCTCATTCGGAAGATTTTTTCATTTCTCTCGCAACCTAGAAGCAATAACGATAAACAGTAAATGAGGTGAGCGCTTTTAGAAAGAAAAAGAAAACAAGAAAACCGGCCTAATTCATTGCAGTATTTCTTCCTTGTTTAGCCCGTAGGGTACTCTTAATCGCGTACGCTATTCGTCGAAGTGTTGCAATTGTTGACGTTGTACAATACTAAGAAGTGGCTGATAGCTTAACGCGACGTTCGTTTCTATTTTAGTACCACCATTGTTGTGACGTAAAGTACTTCCAATAGTAAAGTTAAGAAGCGAGCGATATTATAAGCCAGTTGGATCTGCGTTGAACAACATGAATTCATAAGACAAAAACGGCACGGTTTGCGATTAACTTTTTCGCGATCGATATGTTGGCAGCGTTTTACGATACGTATCTGAAAACGACTCGAAACCCAACGGTGACTGTCTTGCGAGTTATCGAAACGTTGGACGTTGTCGCCGGACGTTGTTCGCACGTGCCGGCCGCGAATCGATCGTATTTCATTATCAATCGACGAATTATTCAGTGACACGCGGAACATACATAAAAGAGGACGACTCTTTCACATCCGTCTCACGAGAGCAAAAGACAACACTGCGACCGTACATATGTATAACGTTGTAAACTTGTTCAACGCACGATAAGCGTAATAATCACGTGTTTCCACGTGACTCTGTATCTTATAGATGTATTCAATGTGATGTACAAGCACAAACGTGTGGTGTGCTAGCATAAATTTTACGCGATTATATTTGTTTCACGGGTGACACCCGCGTGTATGATCGCAGGCGTGAGTAACTCGATTAATAATAAATGGCTCTACAAATTGGTGTTCGCAAATAGAGGAATTCGTACAAAGAATTAAGTATTATACGAATTATATTTCTATATGTATGTACAAGGTGTGATAAAAAAAAGACCGGAATTCTGTCGTCGAGCGCGTAAAACTTCACGGATGTAGTTTAAGATTTTACAAATAGATAGCGCATCCTTCTCCAGTACGCTGTAGAAATTTTGTTATGATCGGTCCAGTAGTTCTGAAGTTATTGTACTGGAAACAAATGTGTGTTTGTACCGTTCTGCGATTCTCACGCGTGATCAAAAGGAGAACCGTTTAGCGATCTGTGAAGAACTGCTCCAGCGTGTGAATACGGATGAAAATTGCTTAAAAAATATTATTATTGGGGACGAAACATGGAGCAGTTCTTCACAGATCGCTAAACGGTTCTCCTTTTGATCGCGCATGAGAATCGCAGAACGGTACAAACACACACTCGTTTCCAGTACAATAACTTCAGAACTACTGGAGTGATCATAACGAAGTTTCTACAACGTACTGGAGAAGAATGCGCTATCTATCTGTAAAATCTTAAACTACATCCGTGAAGTTTTACGCGCTCGACGAAAGAATTCCGGTTTTTTTTTTATCACACCTTGTATATATATGTACATATATATACATATATATATATATATATATATATATATATATATATATAT